TGTGCCTGTTGACCATTTGTATGTCTTCTTCTTTTTTTTTTTTTTTTTTAAAAACAAAAAAAAAAAAAATTTTTTTAAAAAAAAAAAAAAAAAAAAAAAAAAAAAAAAAAAAATCACCCGTGATTTTCTTCAGAATGAAAATGTTGCCTCTAAATCTTATTCTCATACTATCCTGAATGACTGGACTTCACGCCATTCCTTTTGGGGTAAAATTACAATAAAAAAGACTATTCTAGAAAGACTTCTATCAAAACAATTGGATAAGTTGTTCATCTTCCTCATTTTACAGAAAACATGTTATATAATATCTGTTGTTATCCCACAGAATTAGCTGTATTTTAGTGGAGCTATTTATAAATAATCCAATTTTGTTTAAAATAAAGGAAAGGGAGGGATCAAAAAAAAGACATGATCAATAAACAAAGTTCTTAAATGACCATGAAAAAGAATACATACAAATTTCTTATTTCTCCTCTGGCTTCTTCAAGTAAACTGTTGCCATATTTTGTAAGCATGGGCTGTAGAGTTTCTGCTACATCTACATCTTGGAATCTTATACCTAAAAATAAAGTAATAAAATATGATTATAGGGGTGAAGTTAGAAAAGAAGGATCCTTGATGTGCTATCATAAAGATATTTATAATGCAGTAAAATCTCTTATTAAGTTCCAAAAGATATGTGTTCTATAGTACAGAGAATCTGAACATACTGCCAAAGGAAATATTAGTATCAGCAACCAGTAGCCATTAAATAAAATTCAGCCGCAAGCATTGCCCATTTAACAAATTCTCTATGGGAAACAAATTGCCTAGAAATAATTTGATTCAATTTAAGACTTACAACTCCTGCAGTAATTTCTGAAAGAACCAAAATCTTCAATTCAGGTTTTTACAATGTAAACTGAAGTATAAAGAAAAAGTGTTTCAAAAACTTGGCTTTTTTGTAGTGTTTCTGATAAAGATTTTTTGATTTTTAAATTAGGCATTCACACCTTTTGATCTTACATTTTTAAGTGAAAAACTGTCCTGTACTTTGGTTTCTTCTGCCTCAATAAGAAAATCTTATTTAAACAAATGTAATTTGAAAATAAATCACCAATAGGATTCTTTTAAATAAAACATTTCACTGCTGCACTTAAAATACAACTTTTCTTATAAAAATAGTTATATGCAATTTTACAAGGATAGTTCCATTGTTAAAAATGAGACATACTGTTAATTATGTGAGTTATTTTACATTTATAGAATAATTAAATTATTAGGTGTAAGGTAGATAAACTATAACAAGTGATTTCGATTTTTAAATGGAGAATAGTCCCATATATAAAGGTACAGAACAAATTCATTCTCTTTAGAAAAGTTTGCTTTTTAAAAATGAGAATTTTAATTAGAATAGTGAAACTATTAACTTGCTCTTTCCAAAATGTTCAACATCTATTGCTGTAATCCAGACTAAAGAATAGAAAAGGACCTGCCTAAAACATTAAAATAGTTTACTGTGTTAGAATTTGGCATTTATATTATTTTGGCAGTAATACTAATTCTTAAGCTTTTCCTACATAAATCATGCAAAAATTCAACATTATCAGTGGAATTAAAAAAAAAGATCAATAGTCAAAACATTTCTTAAAACTTAGATTGTCATGGTGATTTGCCAATGTTATATTTTAAAACATATAAACTTTACAAACATCTTTGTTCCTCTGGTTTTTTACAATAAATTTTTTTTGTTTTTGGAGGCTGGTGTGTACGAGGATCTGGACCCTTGACTTTGGTGTTTTAACCAGCTGACCTCTACCAACTGAGCTAACTGATCAGCTTTAGAATTGTTTTTACATTGCATTGATCACACCTGAAGCCAGTCCTTTCCATTCCTTATCCTGACAAGGCACAAACAGAAAAAAATATTTGTACAGCAACTTAGGGGTAAAGGCTGCTTGTGACCTGAGAGGGTCTGAGGTTCTCAACCAGCCACCCCAGGCTGAGATATTCCTGACAAGTCTGGCTGAAGTCCCAGCCTAAAAGGCAGTCCTGAAGAGTCTATTAAGGTTGCTAACGTATCAACTTTGGTAATGATGCTTCAGGTTTACTCAGAAAGATAGTGGTTGAGAAAGTATCCCTCACTATTTAATACTTTGTGCAACTTCCATGTCCTGGACTCTATACTGAACAGTGAAAAAGGTCTGAATTACTAAGAGCATACAAACAGAAGAAGAAATTTAAGCTATGTAGTCACATTATTAAAAGACTCTGCTGCTTTGTGGCTTTTTTTTTTTTTTTTTTCCCTATAAGGAGAAATTCTGATTAAACTCTTCTATTTAAACAACAATTTATAGTACTAGATTAGCTTGGCATTTTAATCTAAAATTTGAGCGTTATTTTTATTTAGTATAAAACACCTTTCAGACCTTAGAGATCAACTTGCCCACTTACAGTCCCAGATGGCAAAACTATGGTTCAGAGAGGACAAATGACTTTTTAAAGGTAGAATATATTATTGTGGAGCTACTATCTTCTGGCCTTTTATTTAATTTGGTGTTATTATCACTCCACTTTACAGATGAGGAAAATGAGGCTGAGAGGTCAAGTGTTCTCTTCCATGTAAAAAAGTTAATAAGTGGCAGAATGTGTTTTCTCATTTGTAATTCATTACTTTCATTATATTCAAAGTCTATTGCCAATTTCACATAGCTAGAAGTAGCCAAGCTCTTTCATCCTACAGCTGCCTTCTGCCTGTGTGGAGGCCTTATTTACTTCAAAGGAACTCTATCTAGGGAACAGACAGTGTTAACATTTTGGCTTGGAGAGAAAACAACAACAAATTTTTCTTCCTTTCTGTTCATATAGAGCTTTTTCCTTCCTCAATTAATTTTAACTGAAGTTTTACATTTTTTTTATATCCCTAAAATATGTTTGGTCTTTATAGGAAGCATATTCCAAACAAAATCAAGAGTTAAAACTTTATTTCCTTCCATAGTAGTTAAAATTTTTAAAAAGTTAATTAAAATATTTATTGACTTTTAGTCCCATTATAATAAAATTTAAATGTGGGTGAAGAGAACTGAGAACTTTTAATAGAAATATTTAGGTTCTATACTGAGTCTTGTCTATGCAATAGAATTGCTCTGTAACTTAGGTGGGTTTTAGGTTATTCATTTTCAAAATGAAGAAAGTGATTGTTCTACGGTCATTTTCAGAGATGGAAGTGGCCTTTGTAGTCACTAGCTTTAATTCTTTTATTTTCCATGTAAAGAAAACTCAAGTTCAGAATGATTAGGAGACTTCTCCAAGGTCACCAGCTAATAAGTGGAGCAAGAATCCAACTTTTTTAGCCTTTGGTTATGTGCATATTCCACTGTCATGCTGCCTCCACACAGTGAGAGAGATTTCAATACTTTTGCAAATTTTGTAAAAGGTCTTTGGAAAAAGACTTAAATATGAACATTTAAAACAATACCTGTGGTCCTATATAAGCAAACTAGCTGGTTTCCCCACTTGCCTGAATCAATTTGATTTCCAACTGTAATACCGAAAACCAACTCAAACTCAACTCAAATTTTACTTAGTTTCACACATCTCTTATCAGGATAACAGTTATCTTGAATGTTTTATGAAACAAATTTGAGAGTAATACGTGATCCTTAAATAAAATGATCTTCATGACAATATTATGATTTTATCAAAAAGCATGTCAAAAGACTATTTTCATATCGCTAAGTACACTTAAAAACATGAATAACAGAGAAATAAAACTTCATGCATGTGTAAAACAATCTATTATAAGACTTGAGTGTAGATTTAATTTAAGTTTTGTGTTACCTTTCTTGGGGCATTCTTGTAAGCCCGCATTTTCATTTGCTTTTCTGCGGCCAGTATTAATGCGAGAATGCACATAATTGTACGGAGTTTGCCTAGAACCCTGGATTTGAAGTTGCTGTTTGGCTGAAATTAGTCTATTTTTGAGGACTTCATTTTGTCTTTCAAGCTCATGAACTTTCTCTTGCAGCCGCTCAATCATTTCTTCCATTTCCACATCTCGTCCCAGCCGCTTGGGGCCGCCACCAACCCGCTCATATCTTTTCTTGTCATTAACTAGCCGTATTAACTTGGTGGCCATTCTAGGGAAATAATAAAAAGATGAAAAGGAATGTGAGAAGTCAGCATAAAATGCATTCTGTTGAAAGGAACATAATCACTGTGAAGACTTCAGTGCAGAACCTGAATAATAAATTTCAGGTTTTGATGTAACTATTACTGCCTGTGAAGAATCCTTTGATGATAATTGAAACCACTGGGCAACAATCTGCTTTATAGCACTGACAAATAACAGTTTCCTAAGGCTTATCATTTAAGGTTGGTAAAGAGAGGACACATATTTACTCCATATGTTCCTGAAATGCAATTTTTAATGCATGACCTTATATAGGAATGCTGTATGCACTTAAATGTAGTTACGGATTGTGGATGTGGTGGGTTTTATCTGCAATTTCAGAGTAAGTTAAAACTTTGGAAAAGTGTGTTAAGACTATGCAGCATTTAGGTAATATATTGTTTTCAGTTTCTCTAGGATTAAGATATAAGTGTAAAAACGTTAGAAGGCATAGATGCAAACATATAAAGCTCAAAGAAAAATACAAAAGAAACGAAAATGCACCATTAAATGTTGCTTAGTGTTCAACACTCGACTTTAATATTAGTAAATAATTAGATGCAAAAAGTATCATTTTAATGCTACCTTTAAATTTAGACATAAATTATGCTTTTGTCATCTCAGGAGTTTATACCTCTGATTCTTTTAAGTTTTGATAAAAACTGGTTAGACAGAACAAAAGACAGAAAGGGCACATGGGGGTGATGTAATATACACGTACAGAAAACATGCCTGACAGTGAATGGAAAAATCTTGGCAGGACAAGAAAGAAAAGGTGGCTTTGATGAGAGACACAAGTTCAAGACTTTACAAAATTGGTCGCACATCTTCAATAGCTGATTTTAGTTTATAGTGAATCTATTTTTATAAAGATCCAGACAGGAGATTGAAAATAAAAACACACTTCATTTTTCTTTAAATGGGGTTTGCTTTATTTTAGTATGGTTATGGACAGAAGCTTTTACTTAAGAGAACAAAAGTGAAATAAAAAAATCCTTAATCGCTTTGGGATGTCATAGAACTTTTTTTTTTTTTTTCTCTAAGCAGAGTCCTCTGTAAATGCGGTAGTAGTACATGTCTATCTACACTTCTGACTACTCAGTCTACAGCATGTGGCATCAGGCAGAGCTATGCATAACATAATCAGTTAAGATTGTTTTCTCTTTCCCTGGAGGCACATCCATTAAGCATGCTTTATAAGGGATACAGGATAATAAAAACCAAGATCCAAGAGGACCACAAACACCCTTGTAAAATAATCAATGGATTAGTTCCTTTTCCACCTAATCCAGAGAATGATATATCATTGGGAAATTTGGACACGTATCATAGTGTAACAGAGCCACACACTCTACCTAGCCCTTTAATAATTTCAGGGTCCTGAGCCTCATCCAATGCCTACCCGTAAAACTAAGGTAGTCATCCAAACGAGATGTCAACATAAATACTTGCTTGAATCTTCTGTTACAGAGACTTTCACACAGAGATATAGATTACACTTAAAAGAAAGAGATTTAATGTGAAAAGCAGTCAACATGTATAGAAAAAAAAATGACAGGAAAATCACATCAATAGAGTGCCTTTAAATTCCTTAAATGATGTTCAAGTAAACTTTGTCAAGAAACATGATTGTATATATTTGTCTAGTAATAGCAATACATTTCATTAGTTGGATTTGATTATTTTATGATATTAATGAATCATAAGTGATCTGGTAAAGTATGAGTACTTATTTAACAAGGCGGTTTATAAAATTTATACTAATACTAAAGAAAGTGTACTAATTACATCTTAAGGATAAAGTTAAAGACAGTTCTACCCAAGTTCGAGTTCACTATCAGTGGTATGAGATTGAGAAGGAATTTAGAGCTCTAGGTCAGAGTGTTCACTGGATCACTACTTTCACAGCTGAGTACGGTAAAATCCCAGGAAGATGAATGGTTTGAACACACCATAGGCTAGCGGCAGAGGGATAATGGAACACATACATGCAACTTGACTCCTAGCCCAGTCCTTTTCCCAATAAACTAGAAGGCTCACTATTAAGTTGTTTTTTATTTTCTGGCTAGGACAAATTACTAATGAGGTCAAGGTTGTGAATTCAATTTTCTTCTGACCAATTAGGTTGCCAAAAAAAAAAAAACTGTTTAGTGGTCCAAGACTACATGCCTCATTCTGACTGGCTGACATGTGTATGCTATTGGTTAGAAAGGGAATCAGGCAAGTGAATCACAGGTTTTGAAAAGAGCCGTCATCATGACTCAAAAACCAACTCAAAGTAAAAGGCCTGCACACAGTAGGTCAGTGGGATGTTAAAACAGAGTCCACAGAGCAGAAATTGAACTGGAATCACCTCTTCAGGCTGAATTCTAAGCAGAAAAAACCCTATCTTCTTTCTTCAATGGCTGTCTTGCCTTTTTTTTTAAACTAAAACATGAATATGAATACAGACCTGCTCATGCTTACAAATGTGAATGCACTTTTTTTTTTTTAATGCCATACATTCAGAAGACTGGCATAGTGTTTCTGAAAAAAAAAAGAATTAAAGAATATCTTCTCTTAAAAAATTATTCCTGCACAAATATTTTGCACATAAATCAAAAGCAACGATATATTCTTCAGAAACAGTAGAGACTTTCTGAAATAAATATAGAATCTAGACTAACCCAAGCAAAGTTAAATATGTTCCAGAGATTGAAGTGATGTTTTCATTAGTAAATCCCAAATTTTACGGGAACATGCATTCTAACAAGTTAGAATAGTTAATTACTTCTAAAAACTTTCATTTTAAAATCAAGACATTTAAAAAACAGATGCTTTGGCCATTTGCTTATCAAACTATAAATATTAAACCAAAACTTATTTATAGATATGATACATTCACGGCACTCTTAGCTATTAGCTCTTTTCTTTCTAACAGCAACTTCAGACATAAACACTCATAATTTTTTGGTTTATTATTCTAGTTTGCAAGATTTTCCATTTTTAAAAATTGTATTTATTTACAACCTTCCTTTTTCCAAAAAAGATTCAAGGTGGGGTTTTCAATTATGTTTATAAAAAAGCATCTCCTCCAAATGTTAGAGTCAAGAAGAAAAGCTAAAAGCTTTTTATCATAACCTTTTAATTTTATCCTCTTGCTTGCGGGCATGCTGTTTAAGTAAAATGTTCTCATCATGCAAACGCAAAAATCTGTCTTCCAGTTCTTCACGACCGACACGTGAAACTGCCTGGCGAGACTTCATTGTCCGCGTTGTTGAAGTTTCTGCAAAAATGCCAAGGTAATTAATTGTGTGATTACTTAAAACATTCTCTAAAAACGATAACTGCTGGTATTAATACAATCTCTGATGTACTTGTCTTAGATTTCTTCTCCTGTTACCTATAATTACGACTGCTTTAAGGAAATGTTATATCATTGTTCACATCAATAATTTCAGGTGAGAATAAAAATCTTTGCTATTAATAGTTTATATACAATATTGGGAATTTGAGCAACAGTAGTATTCATTCAAAAATGCATTCAAGGGGCCGGCCCAGTGGTGCACTGGATAGTGCGCCGCTTGGGAAGCGCGGCGGCGCTCCCGCCCGAGGGTTCGGATCCCACATACAGACCGGTTTCCGCTCACTGGCTGAGCGAGGCGCGGGAGCAACACCGGGGGTTGTGATCCCGTTGCCGGTCCCCGGTCCGGTACAGGGGCAACACTGAGGGTTGCGATCCGTTGCCGGACACGGAAAAAGACAAAAGACAAAAAAAAAAAAAAAAATGCATTCAAATAACCATTCTTTAAGAATATAGGTTGGAACTATGATCAACAAAGACCATTCAATTTATATGCTGAATGTTGTAAAAACTAAGCTAAAAGAGTATCTGAAAGGGTTTTTATGTTTTTGTTTGTTTTTACAAAGGCAAAAGTGAGAATAATTTAACATGTGTATGTGATATCTTTCTATAGATGTTTATATTTGATATTTTCCATATCATAGTGACATAAGTCAATTTTCAACAATCTTCCAGTAGAAACAAAGAACAAACTGACAGAGATTAAAGTCCTATGGTGTATTACTGAGGACAAGAATCAAATTTATGGACTATTAAAACCCAATAAATAGCTTTGCATACTTTAAATTTATTTGTATCTGAATACCTGATATCTCCTCAAGGATCTAAAGCAAAGCTTAAACATTTTACTTTTAACAATAAGATCCGTACAGTTAAATTTTCTCTTTCAATGAACCACCTTTCATTGACCACCTTTCTGAGGTAGTCCAAGGTGGCCACTTACACTGTTCTGATTAAAAGATAGACAAAGATTCCTTAGTGGAATATATTTTAAATCCCTAGCCTTCTCAATAGCAAATGTAGTGGCATGAGAGCATGGCTGACACACTGTACACGCAAGCATAAACATAGCTCTATACTCTCAATTGTTCTTTAATAGTACTTTTCGTTTTCAGTTTGAAAGGGCTTTTTAGCTCTACAGCAACCACTAAGCGATAAAAGGATAAAGAAAACTTTAATGTATATTAATTTGATAATAAAAGTCACTATTGCTTGCATAAACATGCCATTTTGAGATACTCTACTTGAAAGGCAAAAATTTTAATATATGGCATTTCCTCCCATATAAAATTTAAACATAAAGAAATGTTTTAATGGTGAATGTGATTTAAACCAGGCAATTCAGTTTGGAGGCTTGATACTCTCTATGTAGTTTCTACTGATGTGTGGAATTTTTAAAAGATGATTTATAACAACACTTTATCAGAACAGAGGGGGATTTTACATTTTCTATGAGCTGTTGATAATTGATGCATGCAGTAAAATACCACATGTGTTCTAAAATCTCCATCTTCTTGTTTAGTCCAACCAAGAGCTTATACAGTTACTTAAATGGTTTGGTTTGTATGAATATCAGAAATACTTTAAATTAAAAGTAAAGAAGTCACTGATCAAAGTTCATAACTGTAATAAATAACAGCTGGGACATACCTTGTAACCCTCCCATTCCAAAGAGGTTTAGACCTATATCTTTCACAGGCAGGTCTCCTGCAGTCTCATCAGTTGGACCAGACATGGCCTATCTGTGGAGAAAAGAAAATTCATATAAACTCTTTCCAAGTTATTATATTAACTATGCAACAGAATGAATCAAATAAAATGAATAAGAGACTAGAACTTTAATGGACATCTTACTCCCCACATGTGCTGCTTTAAAAAGATGAAAGCTTCTATTCTAAAAGTAACACTACATTCAATCATGAAGACAGTGTTCCTTTCAACAGTATATTTCCTATAGTTTGCTTAGGAAATGAGGTAAGATTATCATTCTTCCTCTCTCTTCTTCTTATTCCTCTATCTGAAACAAAAACAAACTCTCCCAAATTTAAGAAATACTTCCTCTCCATTTCCCCAAACCCAACCCTTAAAAGAAAGCACGTATCTTGGAAAAAACTCGAGTCAGAAATTTGATTCAAATGGTTGTTCCATCATTTACCATCTGGTCAAGTCACCTAAGCGTTCTGCGTTTTAGTTCCTTAACTTTAAGAATGAAGAAAATAATACCTATCTCACAGAGTTATTCTAAAGGTAAGTAAGATGGTAAATTAAAGGCACTTAGCACACGTGCCTGGATGTCAGTATTACTTGAATATTAATTTTCTGCTTGATGTACAAATGAGTGGGTTGTTCCAAGTTTTGGGAAAGACTTTTCACAACTGGGTTTGTTTTTGTTGTGTTCTCCCTTTGTTGCCATGAGGGCTAGGTCCCACGGTTTAACCACTTCAACATATAGGCTGTCTAGCTAATTCTGGTATTTTTACAGTTTCTATTCTTTACAGAGCTGCACCACAGTATCTTTATTTTGTATGTGGATGTGAGTGGTCCACACAATGTCTAGTATGAAGCAAAAAAAAAAAAAAAAAATTTTATATTTTCATGTTGATCTCCCTAGAAAGCCAAATACAAACTATCAAAGAAAACACCCTAAGACAGAGGTTTTCAAGCTCTAGGATGCTGGTCCTAGAATGCAGAGTAGCAAGCTAATTTGTTTCATTCTCCTCTGTATTCCTGGAGGCTGGCACAGAGCTTGGCATATTCACAGAGCGTAATTAATGGAGTCCATGGGGCTTCAGGGTCTGCGAATCCAGAGATGGTTTACAAAATTTTGTACGCATATATACATATGCAATGTTTTTTAGGGAGAGGGTTCATACTTTTCTTATACAGAAAAGGTTGATAACTACTGCATTTTTTTTTTCCTTTTTGTCTTTTTTTGTGACCGGCAACGGATCACAACCCTCAGTGTCGCGCCCGTACCGGACCGGGACCGGCAACAGGATCGCAACCCTCAGTGTTGCACCAGCACCTCGCTCAGCCAGTGAGCGGCCGGTCTGTATGTGGGATCCGAACCCTCGGCGGGAGTGCCGACGCGCTCCCAAGCAGTGCACTGTAGCAGTGCGCCACCGGGCCGGCCAGATAACTACTGCATTTTGCTGTGACAGTTAACAGACAAATGTCTGGGAGATAATCTACTTTTGGAAACACTGCTACAGAAGAGGTCAATTTTAGAACCCAAATTTTCCAGAAGTTTAAACATAGGCCACCTGTGAAAATGATTACTTTTCCATGATAGAATTAAAGTTGCTTTTAAGAATAACAATAATGATGATGATGGTGTTAACATTTGTTGAATGCTTATTATGTGCCAGGCACTGTTCTAAGTGCTCTGCTTATAAGAATTAATATCTTACAATATTCTTGTGAGTTAGTCAAATGATTCTTGCGTTGCGAACAATGAAGCTGAGACACAGGTTGTGGAGAAAAAGGAACTCTCATACATTGTTGGTGGGACTGCAAAATGGTGCAGCCTCTATGGAAAATGGTATGGAGATTCCTCAAACAGTTGCAGATAGATCTACCATATGACCCAGCTATCCCACTGCTGGGAATATATCCAAAGGAATGGAAATCATCAAGTCGAAGGTATCTCGATTATCTCCTCAACCTGTTAGCTCCATAAAGGCGGAGATTTTGCCATTTTAGTCTCCGTTCCTGGTATTCATTTATTCATTCAATAAATATTTTTTTTCGTTAAATTTTTATTTTGTCAATATACAATGTATATGATTATTATGGCCCATCACCGACACCTCCCTCCCGTCTCCAAGTTGTTACAACAAGCAAACGGAAAGGACATTCTTGGGGGGGAGGGGAGAGAGCTCGATTATCTCCTCAACCTGTTAGCTCCATAAAGGCGGAGATTTTGCCATTTTAGTCTCCGTTCCTGGTATTCATTTATTCATTCAATAAATATTTTTTTTCGTTAAATTTTTATTTTGTCAATATACAATGTATATGATTATTATGGCCCATCACCGACACCTCCCTCCCGTCTCCAAGTTGTTACAACAAGCAAACGGAAAGGACATTCTTGGGGGGGAGGGGAGAGAGGGAGACGGGAGGGAGGGGTCGGTGATGGGCCATAATAATCATATACATTGTATATTGACAAAATAAAAATTTAACGAAAAAAAATATTTATTGAATGAATAAATGAATACCAGGAACTGAGACTAAAATGGCAAAATCTCCGCCTTTATGGAGCTAACAGGTTGAGGAGATAATCGAGTGGTAAACAAATAAGCAAACAACAGGCCACTCAGGAAGTCTAGGGTCTACCAATCAACTCCTAGGCCAAGGCAAATGTTCGTGGTCTTCTACTTGAAGGATCTGGACAGGGACGGCAATTAGCAGCATCAACTCTCATCAGCTAGGATTTATGGCTGGGATGTAAATATCAAATCGGGCGTGGGGATAAAGGGCGGGCTGTGATTCAGGCCCGAAGATGTAGAGGCGTCTCGGGCTGGGCTGCTTTTCACGCGAGCGGAACTCCAGGGCTTTCTCCAGGCCACAGAACAGACACTATGGCCTTGGCTGGTGCTGCAGGCGGAGGGTCTGCCAACCTCCACCCACCCCCATCCTCCCCGAGAGTACTCACCGCCACTCTTTCCCCGCCGCTAGCTACCGTTGCTATAGCGGCGACGGCGTGTTGGGCGGCTGTCCGAGAGGAGCACGGGAAAAACATGGCAGGCCTCGTTGCCTCCTGGGAAATGTAGTTCTCCTTGGCCACCAACCTGTTTGCTCTCTGGGCAGGGGACTACCCTCGCAGCTGTCGGACCTGGGAAATTCTGCTCTAAACCCCGGGGCGCTCTCGGCCGTCGCCGCGGTGCATCCTGGGAGTGGTAGTTCTTACGGCGCTGAAGGAGAATGGCGCCGGGCGGGAGCGGGACGCTGAGAGAACTACACAGAGGAGGCGGGGTCCAAGGCGAGGGATCTACGCGGCTCGCAGTGGCGAAGGCGGCTTTAGAGGCAGCATGAAGCGCACCCCGACCTCCGAGGAACGAGAGCGCGAAGCTAAGGTATGTCCAGCTCCCCGGAGTCTGGGGTTCTTCGTGCGCTGGGAGCTAGGGGCAGGGAACAGAAAGGGCTTGGTTTGATGGCAAGCGGATGCACGGTGTTAAGCCAAGGGATGACAGGGCCTTGTCGGCGAGAGACCTGGAGACATGGAGGCGGGGGCTTATAAATTCGTGCTACTCAGGATGCAGCTGAGAAATGAGAATCAAGACATTCATTACCTTGTCCTGCTTCTGCACCTATTCCTTGGCTAAATTTATAGCCACCCTTGTGCCTTAGTTTACCGGACTCTCAGATGACTGTGATCAGCTGTGCTTTCTCATCGATAATAGTCTCTGAGGACTGAGATCGACTTTGATGAAATACCTGTGCGGGCAGGTGTCTTTATTAGGAACAGTTAGTTGTCTCAGTGGACGCTGATAAAGTCTGTCTTCAGCACTATAGATATGAATCTTAACTACATTGCTACTTTCTATCTGGTGTTCAGCTTCTGGTAGTTGTCATTCTATGAAGTGACAATAATAATAGCAATAGCGATTTTTTAAAAAAGCATTTATTGTTTGTTAGACAATGCAATAGGTGCATAATATTTATTATTATTAAATATCATAACAGTAGATTGCAAGATAGATATTATACAGATGGAGTATTAACAGTTCTGTTTCACAGATGAAGAATTGAGGCTCAGAAAAATTGAGTGTTTTCCTTTCATTCTCATAGGTCCTATTGATACGTCTAAGTATATTGGGAATCTGTCCACATTTTTCCATCTCCACTCCCTTGGACTAAGCTACCATTTGTCTTTAATGGACTGTTGCAATAGCCTACTTATTGGACTACACTCATTCTACACCCTAACTTTGCCCTCTTCTTTTCCCTCCCCCCAACAACCAGTCTCTTCTCACACTGTAGAGTGTGATCTTTTCAAAGTGCAAAAATTGACAGCTTCATTGGATATGACACTCTGCTCTCTGCCTATCACACTTTCGATTTCCTAAAAGTCTCTCTTTCTTATACTTCATTTGTTCACAGTGCCTTTGCACGTGCTAATTGGTACCTTCTCTACGTTAGGCAAATATTGGCAGTGAGGGTCAGTGGCGAATAAAATAAACACAATTCTTGCTCTCATAGAATGTAGAGTCTTAGAAATGAGTCTGTCTTATGGCAGTACACCTAAGGATTTAAAATATAAAATAAGAATTTAAAATATAAAATCTTTTCTATAATAACCTGAGGTATAGCAACATTTCACAAGGAAGCTGAAGCTTCCATGCTTGAGTCTGAGTCTGCATGTGATGTGAGTAATGTACTCATGGTGGACAAGAAGGGGGAAGACCCTTCTGCATTAGTCTGCACAGTGTAAAGAAACAATTAAATGTCACCCAGTGGCATTGTGCATGATGTGTTTCTCACCTTTCACATTTATTTTTAAAGTAATTCATTTATTCTATAAAGATTTATTGAGCACCTATTATTTGCTAGACACTGGGATAGTAATTTTGGCTAAGATAGAATCCCTGCTCCCAAGGAGCTCTTACTCCATTGAAACCATAATCTTTGCCTGTGAGGTAGTTATTAATGTCATCCACGTTTTATAGATGTGGAAACTGAGGCTTGTAGAAGTGACTTGCCCAAGGCCACTGGGTTTCTAGATGGATCTAGGGCCCAGAACCAGGTCTTCTGATTCCAATTTCAAAGCTTTTTCCCATTTTCTGCTTGTGAAATGTTGAATTGATAGAGCAAGTCGTCTTCCTGTTTGCTTTTAAAATTTTCTTTGATCTTTATTTAAAATTTGTTTACTTATGAAATATTATTGGTTAGAACAACATATAGTCAGTTGTTTTAAAATCTTTTTCTTTTTTTTTTTTTTTGGTGGCTGGGTGGTACGAGGGTCCGAACCTGAGACCATGGTATTATGAGGCTGCGCTCCAACCAATTGAGCTAACAGACTAGCCCAGTTGTTTTAAATCTTAAAAACTGTATAAAATGTGCAATTACTCATAAATTATTTTCTTTTTTTAATTGACTTTATTGAGATATAATTTATATACAGTAATTTGCCACCCTTTATAGTGTACAATTTGATGAGTTTTGACAGATGTATATACAGGTTAAGTATTCCTTATCTGAAATGCTTGGGACCAGAAGTATTTTGGATTTTGGATTTTTCCAGATTTTAGAATATTTGCATTATACTTACTTGTTAAGAATTCCTAGTTTGAAAATCCAAAATCTGAAATGCTGCAATGAGTGCTTTCTTTGAGTGCTCAAAATTTAGGGGGTTATGGAGCATTTTGGATTTCAGATTTTCAGATTAGGGATGCCAATCTGTACCTGCAAAATCACCACAATTGGCATAAAGAACATTTCTATTCCTTCTAATAGTTTCCTATTGCTCATTTGCAGTCAATCTCTCCCTCTCTTTTAGCTCCCAAGCAACTACTGATATGTTTTCTGTTGCTATAGATGAGTCTGTGTTTTCTGGAATTTCATATGAATGGACGCATACAGTATGTATTCTTGGGTCTGTCTTTTTTCATTCAGCATAACGATTTTTGAGATTTATGCATGTTGTTGTGTGTATCAATAGTTTGTTCCTTTTTATTGCTGAGCAGTGGTCTACTGTGTGGATATATCACATACTTATTCATTCACCTGTTGCTGGACATTAGTATTGTTTCTGATTTGGGGCTATTATGAAAAAAGCTGCTATGACCATTCATGTAAAAGTCTTTCTGGTTTTATTTATATTGGGTAATGCCCAAGAGTGGAATTGCTGTGACATGTGGGAACTCTTTGTTTAACCTTACAGGAAATGGCCAAACAATTTTCCAAAGTTATTTTACCACTTATGTCAGTTTCCTAAAGCTGCTGCAACAAGTTACCACAAACTTGATGGCTTAAAACAACAGAAATTTATTCTCTCACAGTTCTGGAGACTGGACGTCTGAACTCAAGGTATTCACAGGGCCACACCCTCTGAGGGCTCTAGGGAAGAATCCTTCCTCGCCTTTTCCAGCTTCTGGTGGCTCCTGCTGTTTTTGGCTTGTGGCTGTTTAACTTTAATCTCCACTTCCACCTTCACATGGCTTTCTTCCCTATGTTTCGGTGTCTCAAATCTTTCTTTCCTATTCCAGGATGATCTGATCTTGAGATCCTCAAGATCTTTAACTTATTTATATCTGCAATGACACTTTTTCCAAATAAGGTCACATTTACAGGTACCAAAATTTTGGACATGGACATATCTTTTTGGGGAACAATATTCAAACCGACTATAGCATTTTACAGTTCCACCAGCTGTATATGAGAATTGTAGTTGCTTCAGATCCTTGTCAACTTTTGGTATTGTCAGACTTTTAAATTTTAGCCATTCTAGTGTATAGTAGTATCTCATTTTGATTTTAATTTGCCTAATGAAAATCAAAATGGTGACCAATGAGGTTGTACATTTCTTTTTTTAAAGCTTTATTGAGGTATAATTTACACGCCATAAAATTTACCTGTTTTAAGCATACAATTAGTTTGTAGTATATTTACAGAGTTGTGTAACCCTTACCACAACCTTATTTTAGAACATTTTCATTATCCCCCAAAGGAAACCTTGTGTTCACTTGCAATTACTTCTCATTTGCACCCCACCCCTAGGCAACCACTAATCTACTCTTTGTTCTCTAGATTTGCCTTTTCTGGACATTTTCATATAAATGGAATCATACAATATTTGGTCTTTCGTATTTGTCTTCTTTCACCCAGCATAATGTTTTTGAGTTTCATCTGTGTTGTAGCATGTATCAGTACTTTGTTCCTTTTTATTTCCTAGTAGATAGTATTCCAGTGTCTGGATATACCACATTTCATCTCTTCACCAGTTGATGGACATTTGAGTTGTTTTCACTTTTTGGCCATTATGGAAAATGCTACTGTGAACATTTACAATCTAGTTTTTATATGGACATATATTTTCATTCCTTTTGGGTAGATACCTAGGAATAGAATTGCTGCTCATATGGTAAATCTATGTCTAACTTTTTTTTTTTTTTTGGTGCCTGGTGTGGGGGTCCAAACTCTTGACCTTGGTGTTGTAACACCATGCTCTAACCAACTGAACTAATTGGCCAGCTGTATGTTTAACATTTTAAGAATCTGCCAAATTGTTTTCCAGTGTGGCTGCACTATTTTACATTCTTACCAGCAATTTTTAGTTGCAATTTCTTTACATCCTTGTCAACACTTGCTACTGTCCATCTTTTTGATTGTTGCCATCATAGTGGGTGTGAAGTGATATCTCATGGTGGTTTTGATTTGAATTTCCCTGATGGCTAATAATTTTGAGCATATTTTCATGTGCTTAATAGACATGTGTATATCTCTTTTGTGAAGTATGTGTTTAAAATCTACTTAACCCAAAGTCCATATTTAAATTTTGCTCATATCCTAGTACTATCTTTTATAGCATTTTTTTTTTCCTGGTCCAAGTTCTAATCCAGGATCACACATGACTTTTAGTGGTCGTGTCTTTTCTTCTTTAATCTGGTCTCTTTTAATGTCCTTTAAGTTGGTTCTTTATCCTTTCTTTATCTTTCAAGACATTGACATTTGTGATGAGTACAGGCTATTTGTTTTGTAGATTGGCCCTGCATTCTTATTTGTCTGATGTTTCCTTATGATTAGATTCAGATTACACATTTTTGGCATATGTATTTTGAGGAAAGATGAGGCCACCAGAGGTCACAAATTTATAATCCACATATTGATCCTGGCTGTAGATGTCTTTTATTTGGCCCAAACAAACTGTGTTTGAAAGTTTTGGAATTATTTTCTAATATTCAGAAGTTGAGGGATTATGCATAAAAATCTAGATCTCTGTTTCTCTTGAAGAACTAGAGTATCTGGCAGCACTGGGCATGCATTTTCCTAACTAGAGTTGAATAGTGGCTGCTCCATTTGATGGGAAATGTGCTTTCCATTTTGCCAAGTCAGCTTTGCGCCTTCAGTCATAGGA